TTAGCTTCCGCATCCCTGAGCCACTCAGCCAGACAGCCTCCCCGTCAGAGCCACTGTCCAGTGTAAAGCTGCCTGACCTCCTCGTGCTGGCTCCTTGTGTCCCTTCTTTCCAGCATTTGTCCAGCTGAGGCACAGACAAGGCCTCTGGGTGGATGTTCGGTGTCTTTCTTCTTTCTTCAGTGCCAGTGAACAGAGGAGCCAGCACCATCCTTTGGTTCTATCTGAGAACAAGTAATGTAGAACCTAGCCAGAGAGTAGGGCCCAGATCGGTCCCTCTGCCTCTGCTTCTCCACTTGCAATCTCTAGTGTCTAGAATCTTCTGCCTTATTGGTTCTCCCTTATATCTGTCTTCTCCTGGCTGTATCCAGTCTCTGTAGATGCCTAAGCCTCCTGGATAACATAAGGGAGAGGCCCAGATGGAGCCCCTGGTTCTGGTGACCTCAGGTTGAGAACTACATGGCGTCTGCTTCCGTTTCCTCGTACCATTGGTGTTTACATTTAGAGACTTAGTTCCGGGGAGCCTCCCTGTGGGTCCACAGCAGTGTGCTCCTCCTAGCCCAGGCTGGAGGAGCTAGGAAGGCTGCACAGCTGGCTTCGAGAAGCCACGGTGATCACTGTGAACAGCATGTAGGGAAAGCAAGACTGGCACCCCCTGAGTGTCTCCTCAGACACAGCGCGGAGATGTGGCCAGGTGGGCTGGCCTCTCACCACATCCTTCTTCTCCACCATTCAACAACCAGGCCGTTTCCATATGTTTCTGGGATGGTTTTTTTTGTTTTTGTTTTTTGTTTTTTGTTTTTTTTTTTTTTTTTTTTTTTGGTTTTTGGTTTTTCAAGACAAGGTTTCTTTTTGTAGCCTGTGGCTGTCCTGGAACTTGCTCTGTAGACCAGGATGATCTAGAGCTCAGAGATCTGCCTGCCTCTGCCTTATGAGTGCTTGGATTAAAGGCATGTGCCATCCACCACCCAGCTCTACCTGGCTCTTATTCTTGAAATAGGATCTCACTAAGTTGTCCAAACTGTCCTAAACTCACTCTGTAGCAGAGATGACCTTGAATTCCTAATCCTCCTGCCTCCACCTCCAGAGTGCTAGAGTTACATACAAGTCTGCGCCATGATGCTCAGTCTATTGGTGTGGTGCTAGAGATCTTACCCAAGGCTCCCTGCACGCTCCCAATAAACACTCTGCTAGCAGTCCCTCTTAAACATGAGACACTCGCTCCTTCCTAAGAATAGTTTCACAGGCACGCCCTGGTGCATCTGATCTCATCTGTGGTACCCAGTGAGGATGCTTCCTGGGGCCACCCAAGCCTTTTGCCCGTACCCTAAGAAACAGCTCTGAACGGAGAGCTTTTCTAAGCTGTTTGGAGAGGTTGTGCGGTGTCTTTCCATATGCACAGATCCCTGATACAGTTGCTTCCATGCTCTGTGTGACTAGCGATGAAGGAGGCAGACACTGAAGTGAAGGTTCTAGAACCAGCTGCATGTGGCCATGTAAAAGGAGTCCATCACACAGGACTGTCACTCAGGATCCCTCGAAGGCCTGTCCTGACAGCTGCCTGATGTTACGCTGGTGAGACTGTGCCCCTGTTACCTGAAGCATGAACTAGGAAGAAGCAGCACTGTCCCCAGAGACCCTCGCTAGCTGCCCTGTAGAGAGGCCTTGGCTCACAGGCACAGGCGGTGGGAGGGGGCTGTTCAGAATACAATTGCGCAGGGCTGTATGTATTCACAGTTGTAGCTGCCCTTATCCTTTGTCCTGTAGAAGGTGTCATTCCCTCAGTCCCCTGCCTAAGAATTTGGTACACTGAGCAAGAGTGGCTAAGTACCCACCCACCCTCTCTGGGTCACTTGGCCCCTGGCACGTGCTGGGTATTTATGTTTTCTGGGGACTCATCTCCTGCCATGCTGAAGCGGCGAACAATGGCCTGCCTTGTGCACACGGTGCAGCTGCTGAGACACCAGAGATCCAGGCAAAGAGGACAAGCAGGTGGGAGGGCAGCAGCCCTTCCCTCCCCGGGTGTCTGTCATAGGCCACTGCCACCAGGGCAGGTCCAGCTTCTGTCAGAAAGATGCTGGTGAGCCACAGCCATTCCATGAACTGGGGCAGGGCAGAGGGTCTGGTTGGAAGACTTGGCTCAGCAATGTCCAAGTAGGATAGGAGCATCCCATCCCTTCTGAAGACCATGGCGGGGGCTCACACGCACCCTCCTTCCCGTTACAGACAGCTTGTCTTTTGTCACCCTGCCCTGCCCTGTCATGCACCCCACCCCCAGCCCTGTCACCCTGCCTCTTTTGGCACTCGGATGCATTTCTGGGTTCTGCCATTGTGTATCAATCACTTTGATCGGTGTCACTCACTGCAGTGCGTGTTAAAATTCCATTCCTATGTCTGCAGATCGAGCTGGCAATTAGGCAGGCTCTGAGCTCTAGGGAATGTGTCCCCTAAAAGCTCTGAGACTGTGTGTGGCATCTGTCACGGTGCCAGCTCTACTCTGCCCCAGGGCTAGCAAATGGGTCCCAGCAAGGGGTGGGCAGCTTGGTGGGTGTGGGGCAAACTGGGGCAAACAGCTTGCTCTATGTGGTATGAGGTAGACTTACTCTGTGGCCCTAGATTTGCTCTATGACCTCTGGGCTTCTGAGTTCTTTTGCTTGCCCAGTAGAGGAGGGGGCTGGAGCATGTAGTCTTTAAGGTTCTTCCTCAAAATGGTTGCTGCTAGTGACTCTCACAGTGATTATACCAGACACGTCCCTGGTCCATGGACACTACCCCTACCAGCCATAAAATTCCATGGAGTATCAGGCACAGTCATGTGAAATGTATTCTGGACTAATGTAAATTATCCCACGGAAAAGCCAGAGGGATTGTTGTGCAAGGGGGAAACACCCATGTGTAAAGGGGAGACAGTTGGGGGTGGGAGTATTCCTCATCCCATTTTTCAGTGCAGCGGGGCAGGATTAAATCATGCAATACCCAGAGAGACACAAGCTCCTTTACTGGGCATGGGCAGCAGCAGAAGCAGCCAGGCCAAGGGTACCCAGAAGCCATCCCATCCCAGAGTTGGTTTGTAGCTGTCCCTCAGCCCTTTGGTGACAATTCACAAATGCTCAGCCTTGGACTAGTGCCAAGAGCAGGGAAGCTTGGCACCAGAGGCCTCGCTCCACCTGACACACGTGGCCTCCAGCTCAGCAAGTTCCAGCTGCTGTGGCCACAGCCCAGCCTCAACACTCACAGAGGCCCTGGTCGTGACCGCTTGTCCGTCCCACTGTAGCTCCCAGAACAGGCAGTGCCTGTCGGAACCAGCCCATGGCTTGTCCCTGTGCTAACTGCGCCCTCCTCGCCCTCCTCGTCAAGTGGATGGCTTCCAGGGAGGCGGCTGTTGAAATGAACCAATGAAGCCCGTGCCACGCTCAGAGAGGGGCTAGCAGACTTGCCAGGGGGGCAGTCCTTTAAGGGTGGTGTGTGGGAAGTGCATGGGGGCGGGCACAGCAACAGGATCCTGATGGTCAGGAATGGATTTTCTATTTTCGAGCTATTGAGATCTACAGGAATATTGTGAAAATGTAGCTGGCACCCAGATTGCGACCCCAGATCCCTAGTGCCCCAGTCACACACTACCGTCCCCACAACTAATTAACTGATGCCCACGTGACTCATGCTTCCTCTGTTTTCCCTAAGTTTTTCTTTGCTTGTCAGGTTTTACTGACCCAGGTAGCTTTTAGTCACCTCATTCCAGCTGCTCCAGGCTGACATGTTTTGTCCCCTTGCCTTTGAAGCCTTGACGTGCTGCTCAGAGTCAGTGGAGACCCCTCCGTGGGGCCTGGCTCTTGTCTTCCCCGTGCTAGGCTGATGTGAGTTTGGGAGGGGTAGCACCTCCCTCACCTACTTTGATGCGCACTGCAAACCTCACTGAGTTGATCATTTGGGATGGCTACCATAGATGGCCCCACCCCCATGCCGTGGCAAGATGGCGCTATGCAGCCTCTCCCTGCAGAGGACTGTGACCTGTGCACTATGAGGAGCTGTTCTGGGAAATCTGCTCCTGGTCCTCTGTGTCTGTTAAGTCAGTTGTTGGTTCTGTCGGTGTGAACGCATGCATACCTACTTCATACAGTATTATAACTTCATGATAATTAGCTATTTTATCAACTTAATTCTAAAATAGCCTGTGCCCTCTAGAAGATCCTCCTGCGGCCCCTCTTCTGGGAGTACATGTGTGCCCAGTTACTGCTGTCACTACGGATGGCTGATTGTCAGCACGGGGGACAGCACAGCCCTGCCTGGCATCCTGGCACCATGGAGTCACCACCAGTCCTTAGATGGTGAGGGTGATGCCAGCAGTGGGGCCATCTGTGCCACAGGGCTCCCCTCTTTAGGTCTTTGGCAATATAGGGCTCACCCGTGGGCTGTTCTCATGGCATGTCCTGTGCCGAGTCCCCACTGGAAGAATAGCCAGTGTCCACACACAGTCTGCCCTCTCCGGGGCTCGCCAATCGCTGTGCTTAGGTTTGCTGGTCCCTGGCTGCCAGCTTTGCCTGATTCATTGACCTGGGCCAGAGTGTGAGCCGCCCTCTCAGAGTGTGTCATGTGTTGTACCTTCACCTGTGCTGGCAAGCATTCCTTGGGAAGGACGTTCAAAGCTGTGATTTTTTTCACAGAAACCTGTAAACAAAAGGCTTCCCACAAATGCCCATGGGCAGTGCATGCCCAAGCATGCAGTTCAGATCTGATGCTTACGCTGCATCTCCCACAGGATGGTGGCCATCATCTGAACTGGGCATCACAGGTCTCTCCTGTTCATGAAAGCAGGGAACCTGGCGTTGCAGAGTTCCCTGGTCCTAGGCTCTGGGTCACCCTGCTCAGACATCTGTATCCTGTTTTCTGTGAAGACACGTGGTGACATTTGAGGACCTCTTGGTCAGGCTGAACCTGATTGCTATGTAATCATTTGACCCTGTTGACCTTCCTCTTTCTCTCCTTTTGCCCCACCCTCAATACAGGATGGGAATCCCAGCTGCTGGAAACAGGATTCCTGGGGATCTTTCTGTGCCCTCTCTGGACGCTGTCCCGCCTCCCTAAGCACACCCCCACATCTGGAGTTGTCCTGTGGGGCTTCCGCTGGCTGATCTTCAGGATCATGCTTGGAGCGGTAAGTGGAACTGTCATATAGTGTATCTGGGAACAATGTCCTCAGAACAGACCTGGTGACTCTGCTGGCCTGAGCTGGGCTGGGCTGGCTCATCTGGAGCCTGGACCTTCTTGCTGACCTGTAACTGCTCTCCTGGTATTGGCCTCACTCTGCCCACTGAGTCCTCCACTTCACAAGGTGGCCTGCTGTGAACAGTCTGCCCATCAGTTCCACCAGCCACATACACAATCGTTTTCTGTGGGAAGCAACCACAACTTTGAGTCCTTTTCTGGAGGAGAGTTGGGGAAGAGCTGTGTCCTCTCTCAGAATGTCTTGGATGCCTCCAAGTCGTTTCAGAATGATGAAGGTCATGCGCCATTGAAATGTGTTGGTGAAGGGGCTGCAGTGTGAGCCTCTCTTTCCGACCTAGTGCAGCAGCTTCCAGACACCTCTGTCTGCGTCGGTCTTTTTGTTGGATTCCCCAGCTTGCTTCTATGTGTCTCTCACATAAACCAGATGTGTCCAAAATGTTCTAGTCCAGCATGTCAATCATCCGACAGCCTGTGTGGTCGACAGTCCTTGCCTGCTCCAGGGCCGCTCTCCCCACGTCTGCTCCTCCCCACCCCATTACACATTTGAAACTTTGAAGTAAGAGTGAGCCGTCTGCTTTTGACCTCTGGATTCTACAGAGAATGTGGCTGTCTACTTCCCTACGTTGCACTTCTTACTCTTTGGTGAGCTCTTTTTCTAGCTTTTCCATGTTGCAGCCTTACTGGACATATCCTCTCTACGTGGATCTCTTTGCTTGCTTTTACCAAACCAAATGTGCAGAGAAGTTGAGGCACGCCACAAAGAATGGGTCCCTGAGTCATGTGATCACGGTGCTCCCATGTGAGGGCAGGAGTCTTCAAGCCAAGACCTCCTTCAGTCTAGAACATTCTGCACTGTTCTCTGACTGCCCAGACCTTGATTTTCAGGCTTATCTGGTGACCGCATGACTGTTCTGGGCATTACCTATCTCCCTATGCTCATAGTGGCAGCAGTGTCTGCCCCTTCCTGACCAGCTTCCGGCTGCAGGCTCAGGAGGAGCCCGCCTTCCCACTGCAGTCCAGGGTGCTATGAGCCCTCTGGAGCCCATGCTGTCTCTCTGGGGCTGTGCATCTTGACCAGAACTGTGCTCTTGTGGCACTGCAGATCCTCCGGTCTGATCTGACTCCTCCTGCTGTGTGAGACATTCAGGGCAAGAACTTCATAGTCCATCACCGAGGGAAGTCAGGGCAGGAATTTAAACAAGAACTGAAACCGTGGAAGAATTCTCTTTTCTGGCATGCTCTGAAGTTCATGCTTAGCTAGCTTTCCTATACAGTTCGGGAATCCCTGCCTAGGAATGGCGCTGCCCACGGTGGGTTGCTCTCCTTTGTCGTTTAACAATGCCCCACAACATGTCAGTAGGCAGGCCTGATCTGGGGAATCCCTCGGCTGACGCTCTCTTAAGTGACTAGGCTATATCAAGCTGATTGACAGTTTAAGCTGACTGGGACCCCTCTGCACTGTGGGTGAAGCAGCCTATGCTCAGATGAGATAAGCTCCCCGAGTATAAATACCCCATCTTCTTCACCATCTTCTACAGAGTTCACTATATAGGGCATGGGCCTCAGTGAGGGAAATGCCATAGGAGGGTCCCTGATGCCTCAGTGGGCATGTGTGTGCATGTGGCATGGCGGGCTAAGCCCCTTTCTCCACACTGCAGCCTTGGCCTTGGCTCTGGCCCAGGTGCTTTTGCCCCCAAGGATGTCCTGAGGCTCAGGTGGTGATCAGGGCACCTGACAAATTGTTTCTGGGACTAAAACAATCCAATAGCTTTGTGTTTTTATGTGTGGACATTGAAAGTCACCTGATTAGGGCTGGAGAGATGGCGTAGCAGTTAAGAGCACTGGCTGCTCTTCCAGAGGACCCGGGTTCAATTCCCAGCACCCACATGGCAACTCACAGCTGTCTCTAAGTCCAAGATCTGACACCCTCGCCCAGACATACATGCAGGCAAAACATCAATGCACATTAAATAAAATAAATAAATTATTTTTTAAAAAGGAAAAAAGAAAGTCACCGGGTTTCCGGGCACTCTCCGCATGCTTGTTCTCTGAAGCAGGTCACCTGGCCCATAATCCTCTGTGACTGTAGCTGTGTTCTTTCTCTGCTCTTGTGACCGGGGTTCCTGGAGAGGCCTCAGCTGGGACCCACCACATCTACCCATGTCCCCAGCTGTCTCCGGTGGCTGTGAGCTTCCCCATGTTGGGCATATGAAGGGCCATAACAGCCCGACAGGAGAATGGGCAGGTGTGAGAGACCCTAGAAAGGCTGTGTGGAGCCAGTATTGTCAACAGTAACTAACATGGGTGAAATCCTGTGCCTGCCAGGCCACAGTGCTGACTCCGTGTCTGTGCTGCCTTGTGCTGCCGTGTGCTGCAAGCGTGCTGCCGTGTGCTGCCTTGTGCTGCAAGCATGCTGCCGTGTGCTGCCGTGTGCTGCAAGCGTGCTGCCGTGTGCTGCCTTGTGCTGCCGTGTGCTGCAAGCATGCTGCCGTGTGCTGCCGTGTGCTGCAAGCGTGCTGCCGTGTGCTGCAAGCGTGCTGCCATGTGCTGCCGTGTGCTGCAAGCGTGCTGCCGTGTGCTGCCTTGTGCTGCCGTGTGCTGCCTTGTGCTGCCGTGTGCTGCAAGCATGCTGCAAGCGTACTGCCGTGTGCTGCAAGCGTGCTGCCGTGTGCTGCCTTCTCCAAGGCCAGTGTGCATTTGGGAAGGGACACTGAACTGCTTTGCTGTCTTCTGTGACAAAGGGCATTTCTTCCTGGATGGCCGACAGTGCTACAAGCTTAGTCTCCTCTCCTGGTTGGAGTTAGGGAGCCTGAAACTTTTCAGAAGTTTCAAGAAGCTCTATGTGGAAGCCAGCCGTGTTATGAGAGGCAGAATGCAGCCAAACTTGTGTGAAGCCCAGGTCTGCAGAGAAGCTGAGCTATGTGGAGAAGAAGGCTCAGCTCTGTGGACAAGCCCAACTTCATAGAGAAACCCAGCCCTGTGGAAAAGATGAACTAGATGGAGAAGCTAAGCTCTAGAGGAAAGCTGAGCTGCGTGGAGAAGCTGGGCTGTGTGAAGAAGCACAGCCCTTAGAGAAGCTGAGTTGTATGGATAAGCTATACGGCTGTTCCATGCACCATTCTGGTGCCAAGAGTTGAATGCACGCCCCATGATGCCTGACAGTGCGCGAATCATTAGCACATTCTGAAGCCCTTTTATGGCATTTTGATTGACTGCTAGCACCAGCTGGATAAAAATTACCAGGTGCACTAAAAGGTGTAATTACTTGCTACAGTCTTAGGTTGGATATTATTAATCTTGCTTCTGTGGGAAGCATATCAGGAGAGGTGCTGTGGCAACAGAGCGGTGGTAGCCTCCTGTCCATTGTGGGCTGGCTCAGACCTAAGACCGCAAACCAGCCCTCAAGACTTCATCATCTGGAGGCATTTTGTATGCACCCAGATTGGTTTGTCCCTTGGAGCTGAGTCTCAGAGTCCTACAGTCATGATGCGGTGGTGCCTCACTGGAGAGGAAAAGCGGTAGCGTTTGTCGCCTGTGTGAGGCTGAGTCAGGACTAGGACGGCCACATCCTCCAGGCTGCATGGCTGACCCAGGCCACCATCCACCCTGTAAGATGCAGCTGCTATCAGCTCAGATGGGGTGGTGTGGACCCATGATCTACAGAGATCCGGAGCCAGCTTCATGGCCTCTGCCTCTGTGGGCGGCATACCTGGCCAGGGCAAGGGGAAGATCAAGCAGAGCTGAGACCACACTGAGCTGAAGGAGAAGAAGATGGTGGAGGCTGCGGAGGGATCTGTTCTGGATGGAGCTCTGAGAGGCCTGGCCTCTGGCCTCTGCAGAGCCCTGATCTAATGATGAAGGACATCAGCAAGCCCTCTGTGGGGACAGAATTACTGCCCGCTTCCTCTCAGATGTCATTAGAAACAGAAGAGAACAGCCAACTCAGGCCATCAGACTTGGTGGCAAGTCCCTTTACCCACTGAACCTTCTCAGCAGTCCCACAAGACACTATATTCTGTACTGTAGAAACTAGAAAATGAGATCCTCAAGTCTAGCATTTGCAGTAACATCCAAGCCAGGCTGTAATCCGGGCATGTAATCCTAGCTCCTTGGGAGGCTGAGGAAGAAGGATCATAAGCACAGGCACCCTGGTCTACAGAGGAAGTGTAAGGCCAGCTGGGCCCCCGTATAAAGTCAAAAGTTAGTGGTAGAGCCCTGCTTCACGTGCGCACAGTGCTGGCTCAGTGCCCAGCACCACTGTTTAGTTGCTGTTCTAGCACTATCAAGGGACACCATGACCAAGTCAAAAAAGAAAGCATTTAATGGGGAACTGACTTGCAGTTTCAGATGTTATTCCATTATCACCATGGTAGGAAGAATGATGATGTACAGGCAGACATGGTGTTGCAGAAGTAGCTGAGAGTTCTATATCCTGATTCTTTGAAAGACAATGGGCTTGACTTGGGCTTTTGAAACCTCAAAGGTCTCCCCCCAGTAACACTTCCTCCAACAAGGCCAGACCTCCTGATCCTTCTAATCCTTTCTAATAGTGCCACTCCCTGGTGACTGAGCATCCAAATATCTGAATTCATTGGAACCATTCCTATTCAAACCGTCATAACTACACAGAGAGAGAGTGGGGGGAACAGAGAGACAAAGATACAGAAAGACGTGCACACGTGTGCATGCATGCGCGTGCTCGCGCGCGCACACACACACACACACACACACACACACCCCACTCGTGGCTCTTTCACAAAAGGCTCCAGAACAGGTAATCCCTGGCTGTCCTCTTTGGGTGAACCAGGGGAAGAACCATAGGAAGAAGCCATAGGAAGAGCATACAGGATCCTTCTTGGGTGATGGGGACATCTGGTGTCTCAATGGGAGAAGGTGCTGTGTGAATGTGTGTCCTCATCTCCTCAAGCC